GTAACATCTTGTATCGCTATAAAGTAAGGAAGTGTGCCAACCAACAAAGACACGTACATGCAACACACACACATATACAAATGGAGTATGTCAAAGGGACTCGGGTACCAACTGGGACACCCTCAATGGCTAAAGTCGGAATGACTTGTGCAACAAAATAATTAAAGTAAATAATAATAATTACATTGGAGTGTAATCTAAAATATAAAATAAGATTCCAGGATTCCTATTGCCATAAATAGATGATTAAATCAATAAATAGATGGAGGAGAAGAGACAGATACAGAATTCCAAATACATTCCAGCAAGGATGCAGAACACAACCATCCTCTCCCTTCAGGTGGGCTGAGCACAGTGACTTCCTTCCAAAGAGAAAAGTATGAAGGGGAGAGGGAAAGAGTAACTTTCAAGTCAAGAAACAGACAAACGCTACCTCAGTTTGTGATCAAGATCAACATCACCAGGGAAGGCACTTGGATATCACGTATCCCTGGCACTTTACCTCTGTGGCCTCCTGAATCCCAGTCTAATCATTAGACAAATCCCCTTGGAAGGCCATTCTACCAAGTGCCTGACCAGTGCTTCTCAAAACCCTCAAGGTCATCAAAGACAAAGGAAGTCTGCGAAACTGTCACAAACCAGAGGAGTCTAACGGGATATGACAATCACATGTGCTGTGGTCCTGGATGGGATTCTGGGACAGAAGAAGGACAAAAAGGAAGGAAATCTTAAGTACAGACTTTTGGTTAACACCAAGGATTGCGGTGGTTTCCATAATACCGTTGGGTGTCCACAGCAGGAGAAACTGAGTGTGGGCCCAGAGGACTCTGTACTATCACTGCACCTTTTCTATAAAACTATTCTAAAAATCAAAACCCAAGCCAGTATGACTGCAGAATGGGTGACTTTTGATTGCCTTGTTGCTGGATACACACATATCACCATGTCCCACACCTCATCAGAGAGGCAGACTCAGGGGACACGGGCTGGGGAAGGAGAGAGGGTGTGGTCAAGGTCAAAGATTTGGGGGCCGAGGGGGCTGAGCACTGGCTTGGGCATGAAGAAGAACTGTCTCTCACTGCTGCCAGGCGGACCCGGGAGGTCTCTGAGAGTCATCCGCATGGGGACCAGCCACAGTGTTTGTATCCCTCAGATCGACGGAGTTGTGGCAATGATAGAATTTCAGACAGGTATGTGGGAGAGATTTTATGCAGCAAAGGGTTTTCCGGCATTCCTGAGGATCGCACCGGGAACTCTCTACTCATTAGCTGTGTGACCTCAAGCAAGCAGGTCAGTGTCTCTGTGCCTCCATTTCCTCATGTGGAAACGGGCACACTAATAATGCCTACCAGACAGAAAGTGCTGTGAGAATTGAATAAAATCGTGCAAATAGACATCTCAGTTTGCGTTAAGTACACTCTATCATGTTCGTACAACTGCAACGAACTCGCCTCTCTCAGAACATATCCTTTTCATTAAGCCATGCAAGACTTATTGCACATAACCTATGCACATCCTCCTGTATGCTTTAAATCATCACGTACAATAGCTTATGCAATGTAAATGATCCATAAATGGTTATTATACCATATTGTTTAGGGATAGTCTATACACATTCAGTACAGTTGGCAATTTTTCTCCAAACATCTTCTATCTGAAGTTGGTTGAATCTGTAGAGGTGGAACCCCGGGGGACAGAGGTCTCATTGCATTGTATTTCCATTTCTTTTCTGCTCCTTCCTGGTGGTGGGTGTGCTTCAGCCTGGCTAGGACTGGACTCAACTCTCAGCTGGGACTCACTTGCCAGCTGTGGACTTCAGGCAGCTGATTTCACTTCCAGTAGTGTTGGCCTTGGTGCCCCCAAGCCCTAGGCCCCACCCTCACTGACTCCAGTCCTATAACAGGCAGCCCCAGGGCTTTTTCTGATAAGAGTCCTAGGGCAAAGAGTAGAGGCTGGAAAATGAATCCTCACACTCCACAGCCTTTCGCTCAGGAGTGTCAGGAGTCGGTGGAAAACACACAGCTCCCTGACCCTCCCTCCTGCCCCTCCAGGGGCATCACCCTGAGATGCCTGTTCTATACCCATTCCCAGGGTTCTCCAGCAGGACTCAGCTCCAGCTGCCCCAGGGGTAACTTGCGTGACAAGTGCCACTCACAGCCACCTTCCCTGCTCGTCTCTCTCCTCTCCTGGTGCCTTAGGGTCACCTTCCCAAAAGCCACATGGTCTTGAATTCTTGTCTTGGAGTCTGTCTTGGGGGAAGCCAAACTAAGGCACTCCTCTTAGCCCTGGCTTCACTGCCCGTAAAATGGGTACAAGAGCAGAGTCTCCCTCATAGGATTATTGAAAGATGGTATTTGTAAAGTACAGGCATGGCATGCATAAGCATCCCAAAGAGAACCACAAAGGTAATTTTCAGTTGGCTTATTCTGAACTTTTTGAAGAGAAGGCCATAACTTTTGACAAAGTGGTCATGCACTACGTCTGGCCCAGTTGTCCTACAGACCCATTTGCCTTCTCCTGGGACTGTCCCCCACTCTCTGGGCCAGTCCTATCTACACACATGCCCTAGACACACCCCTCCTGATGACCAAGCATAGTCCAGAAAATGGCCATCCCTCAGCCATCAACAACTTGTGCCTTGAAAGGAAGCTCAGTGGTAAAGCACTTCCTAGCATGCAAGAGGCCCTGGGTTCCATGCCCAGCACCCTAAGAATTTTTAAAAATATATCCTCCATGGGCTGGGGATTTAGCTCAGTGGTTCCACCACCTGCTTCATAAGCTAAGGACCCGAGTTCGATCTCTGGTACCAAAAAAAGGAAAAAAAAATATCCTCCATGGACCTGTTTTAGAGTTGAATCCTCCCAAGAAGGGTGGAAGCTCACCCCTCAGAACCTCCTATGGGAGTGGAGGAATGCCTGGCAGCAGCCTGGGGACTCCAAGGAACACCGGCTGCTGTGAGCCCCCAGTTTTATTTTCTACTGTTTCATTACCTGGGGAAGAATCATAGTGTATCTGTAAAATGGCCACAACAGGAATCCCAACCTCACAGGCTACCATGAGGAGCAATGGGTCTATTCTCAGGAAGATCTCAGGAGAGAGTCTCAAGTGCAGGAAGAATTGAGGGAACACTGTGGCCTTAGATGTGGGATCACATGGAAGATGACTACAAAGACAATCCATGTGAGCCAGGTGCAGTGGTGCTGGCCTATAACCCCAGAACTACAGGAGGCAGAGGCAGGAGGACCGACCGCAAGTTCAAGCCCAGACTGGGCCACTTATGACTTAGCAAGATACTGTCTCAAAATGAAAAATAAAAAGGGCTGAGGATATAGCTCAGTGTGAAGGCCCTGGGTTCAATCCTTAGTACCACAATCAATCAATCAATCAATAAGAAGGAAGGAAGGGAGGGAAGCAAGGAGGAAGAGGGGAAGAAAAAGCCCACGCACTCCTAGCAAAATGACTTCTGGAAGCCGACTGGGAGTCCCTGAGGCTGGGGGAGGGGAGATGGGAATTAATCTCTCAGTGCAGATGAGGTTTTCTTTCGGGGGGTGATGGACACATCTGGAAATTAGCAAGAGGCAGGCAGTGGTTGGATTATACTGTGGCTGCACTAAATGCCATGGAATGGTATTTAAAACTTTCAAACGGCTGATTTTATGTGATATGAATTTCACCTCAATTGAAAAAAAGACTTCTGGGGAGAGTTGGCTTATAGTAAGTAGAAAAGATCTTTGTGAGACATTTACTTTTTACAATTTTATTCACTTCTATCCAGCTTATTTTAAAAAATAATGCACGGAGCAGCATATAAAGGAGTAGCATATAACTGTGTGTGGGACTGAAAGTAGCATATGAGGAGCTCTGACTTGCTGGGAGCGCTGTGCTGTGGATCACTCTGGCCAGGCCTAACTCGCCTCCTCCCGCAGATGAGGCAGGGCCCGAGGGAGGAGAACAGGCGACAAGAGGGCGTGGTGGAGCAAGGCCTGTCCCAGAAGAGGGCTATCTTCTTTCCCACCCATCCGCCAGAGAAACATCAAACATATCTCCTGCAGACCCTAGCCGTCTGTTCTCCCTGTTCCAGTCAGGCATCCCCTTTCCTTTCCCTTATCTACACTATAAAGGTGCTGAGGATGCAAGCCGAGCCTTTTGTCTCAGGAGGAAGAAGGGATTCCACCTGGACTCAGCTTTATAAACTTTACTGTCGTCTTTGTCTTCTTTCTTTGTTTGACTTTCTTAATTTCTCACTGTCGTTTTTCACTCCATGAACCCTTCAGCCATGCGGGTTGTGGCACTGACTCACACTTCATCTATTTACCATCTATCTTTCCATCTATCCACCATCCATTCATCTACCCATCTACCCATCCATCCATCCTTCGATCCATCATCCATCCAGTCATCCACTCATCCATCCATCAACCATCCAGTCATCCATCCATCCATCCATCAACCATCCAGTCATCCATCCATCCATCCATCCATCCATCCATCCAAACATCCAGACATCCATCCATCCATCTTGCTATGTAATAGGAACAGCATCCCTAGGAGGGAGTGTCAATGTCCCTTTTTCAAAATGACAAAAAGTGAGCCTCAGAAAACTTAAATTGTTCGTCCACTCCCAGAGCCCAGCTCCAAAACATCTTCTGACCACCACACAGTCTCTTATTTCCATCTGTAAAATAAGGGTGTCTGAAACCACCCTCATCCTGATACTCCCTGGTTCCTGGCCTCCTGGCTGAGCCCTCAGTATGGCTTCCAGACCTCCCCAGTCCTGCCTGTCCAGTCTGTGTTCAGCAAGGCCCATCCGCCACCTACTCCCTGTTCCTCAAAGCAGAAACCACTCCTCCCACAGACTCCACCACTGCACTCTGAGAAACAAGGGGGCTGAAAGCAGACCAAGACAAGAAAGGAGAGTGGACAGGCAGCTGTCTGGAGGCAGCTGCTTCCCCACCAAGCTCCCCGAGCTCCCCGAGCTGTGCCTGCTGGTGCTAACTCACCCCGGCCACCTCCCGGTGTAGGATCCGGGTCACCTCTGCCCGGCCCAGCCCCAGCTGCAGCCAAACAGGGCACGTCTTGATCAGCTTCTCCAGGATACTGATGCCCCGGGGAGGAAGGCAGTTCTTTGAGGTGACAGGCAGATGCAGTCCCAAGCTGTCCTCCTCTTCCTCTTCCTCTCCTTTGTCAACATCTGGAACAGGACTGAGAGCAGAGACAAAATCAAATGATCAGCCTGTCCTGCATCTGGCCCAGAGAGGTATACAAGTGAGGATTAAATTCAACCAAGCTTATTTATTTAGCATCTACGTACCTGGGGGGTTTGGGGGATTACAAAATGGACAGACCATGTCTACACCTTAAGGCACTTATAATAAAGCAGGTGAAACCAGGTATAGTGTTGAATGCCTGTCATCTCAAAACTTTGGTAGGCTGATACAGGAGGATCACAAGTTTGAGCCCAGCCTGGGCAATTTAGCAAGATCCTATCTCAAAATAAAAATACTTTAAAAAAGGGATGGAGATGTAATAGGTCAGTGCAAAGGTCCTGGGTTTAATCCCCAGTCCTTGAATCAATCCATTCACCCATCAATTGATTGATAGATCAAATAAAAAATAAAGCGAGGGAGACATACACATAAGCAGCAGGCTATAGACAAAGAGGGAATAAATATAACAGGAGCGCAGTGTCAAAACTCAGGGGGCTCAGAAGAGCACAGGTGGCATTTGAAGAGAGCCATGAGGAAGATTTTAAAATACTTTTAACTGAAGAGTAACCTATGGGCAGCAAAATGCACAAATCTCTACGGTATATCAAGTCCTGTTTTTACACGGCTACCTACACCCATGTAACTACCACCCAGATCGAGAGAGAGAGAGACCTGAGCTATCCAATGCCATGGCCATTCACCATAAGTGGTTACCCGTCTTCAAAGTGCCTGATCCAAACTGAGACATGCTATGAAATACAGGATTTGGAAGACTTAGTATGAAGAAAAGACTATAAAAGAGCTCATTAATAGTATTTTATATACATTATGTGTTGAAATAATATTTTATATATGTTGGCTTAAGTAAAACATTATGAAATTAATTGTTTTTATTGTTTTAATATGGTTACTAGAAAAACTTAACGACTGTGGGGCTTATGTTATGTTCAAGGTTTCTGTTGTACGGCACTGACGAAGAACATTCTTTCCATAAAGATCCTTTATGGCCCCTTCCAGTCAACTCTCCCCACGCCAGGATGAGGATTTGTTAACACCTCAGAGTGGATCACGCAGGAAGTTCACAGATTCAAGAAGTAGCAAAACCGATCTGAGGGCCCAGAGGCCCAGCCCACTGTCCGTCACTCTGCCTGGTTTAAGAGATGGGGGACCCACTCCAACACCTGCCTCTCCCCCATGCCAGCACACACAGGCTAGTTTTGAAACCAGGGAAGAGGCAGCTATATCAGTTCCTTGGCCCCTGGAGGCGAGTGGGCTGAGAGTTCTGGTGGTGTTCTACCTTAGAACTAGGTCTCTCGCAGTGGTATCTGTGGGGCTGGAAACTAATCACACAAAGCCAGTCACATATAGGACCAGGAAGTGGCACAGTGCCTCTCAGTTTGTCCTCTGCCTCTGTGACATTGCTAGGGCAGCAGTGAGCAGGGCCGGGGCTCCTTGCGGAAGTGTGAACAGCAGGGCTTTGCTGTTCGGAGCCACTTGGAGGGGGTTGTGAGGTCAGGATGAGCCCTATTACAGAACATGTGATAATGGCACGCTCCTGAGGGCCAGAGGGCAGCAGGACTCAGACATCATTGGGGGGACGGTATTCCCCACAAAGGAGGAGGGGATAGGAAGTTCTAGCTTCACTGGGTTTGCCAGAAGTGGGCAGGAAGTTTAGGCAGGAGGAGGAACATTTGATCGTCAGGTGAGGCTGTCTGAAGGCTAATAAAATTCCCTCCTCTGGGGCCAGGGATTTAGCTCAGAGGTTCTGCCTCCTGCCTCGAAAGCACAAAGACTTGAGTTCAATCCCCAGTACCAACAAAAAAAAAAAAGAAAAAAGAAATTCCCTCCTCTGTTACCCTCTCAGGGGATCTGCCAGAGGTCCACAGCCTGCAGCCCACACAGAAGGAAGAGCTGGGTCCCTGGGGAAACAGGAATGTCGCAGGAAATGGCAGGAATCAGGACTGGGTTGGGCGGGGAGGCTGCCCCATGGATGTCCAAGGCTATGCATGGGGTGAAGAGTCTCATTTGGAGTTCCAGGCCAGTGGCCCAGAGGACACTGACCACTTCCCAGTCTCTCCATCTCCTCTGCAAAGCCAGGTGAGACAGTGAAGGCCACAACTGTCGAGCAAAGAAGCACCCTGGGGCCCGCAGGTTGTTCTAGCTCCGCTCAGAAACACAACGATGTCTATCCTCTGGCGCCAATAGACCTGTTACAACCATCTTGGAACAAGTGTGCTGGACTCAGGGCCTCCCCCAGAGGCCAGTCAGGGCTCTGCTTTGCTGCTGGCAGTGACCACCACGGGCTCCTTGGCTAAGTTCCTCCCACTCAGGGCCTCAGTTTCCTCATTTGCACAACAGGGGTGGGAAGATTTCTCCATCAGCTGGGTGGCCTTAGGTAGGCCCTGGGCGTATCCCATTTTCCCCTGTAGAACTAGGGCTGCCATCAGGCAGAGACTCTGAAGAGGGTGGCACATGGCCTCTTGTTCACTCATGCCACAAATATTTTTGAGGACCTTTGAGTGGCAGATCTTGTTCTAGGCATGGGGTAAAGGTGTGAACAAAATGCCAAAACAGAAAGAGAGAGAGGGAAAGAGGGACAGAGACAGTGAAAGAGAGAAGAGACAGACAGAGACAGAGAGACTGAGAGACAGTTCCCAAGCCTTCATGACATTTTCATTTAGATTCCAGGGGGCTGGGACAGGCAGTCCTGGTGAACGCAAAGCTTGAGTGTGTCCCATGGCAGAGGGAAGGGCCATTGGAAATTCCAAACCAGGAGGCCAGGAAAGCCCCCACTGAGAGACTTTGGACTAAAGCCCTGGATGCAGGAATCACAGAAGAGATGTCCAGGTGGAAAGAAGAGCAAGCTCCGAAGCCTGGGGGTCTGGGTCCAGAGGAACTTGGAGGGGTGGGCAGGTGACAAGGTGAGAAGGGGAGGAGACAAGGCCAGGTGTGTGGGGGACTCTGACCCTCAATCTGTGGATGTGAGCAACTTCCATGGCGGGAGGGAAGGGCTGGGCCTCTGGCTGTGGTTTGCTGCTTCTCCAGACCAGCCCTCGGGCTTTCTGGGCCAGGAGAAGTGAGCCGGTGAAGATTTGCTGGGGCCTAATGAGTCTCTGAGAACACACAAAGGATCCGCCTCTTCTCCTTGCAGCTGCATCGGCATCTGGAGGCACAAAGCTGCTCCTGTGCAGGTGACCAAGTGGAGACTCTGCCCCAGGCTCCACTGTGAGTCATGGGGACTGTGCCACCTCGCTCTCCTGTGATTTCGTCCCTTCCCTGGTCTAAGAGCTTCAGTGGCTCCCACTGCCTAAAGAATCCAGCCCAGTCCTCTAATATCTAAGGCATTCTCTTTCTGGGACCTTGCCTCCAAACGCCTCCACTCAAGGCAGCCATCCGTCACCCCAAAAGAACCTCCACTTGCCCACCTGCCCTCCTCAAGATGTCCCGTCCACCTCAGTGCCTGCAGGGCTCCAGCTCCTCCTCCCAACCCAGAGGCGAAAGTATCAGACCAGACACAGACAGCATCAACTATAAGAGAAAAAGTACATCCACTGGGCTGTGTCAACATTTAAAACTTCTGCCTACCAGGCTGGGAGAAATATTTGTAAAACACAGCTCTAATAGAGAACCAGCAAATCATTCCAAAAATGGGGGTTCAAGAGATTTGAACAGACGCTTCAAAGAAGAAGACATGCAAATGGGCCCATAAGCAGGTGAAAATTGCTCAAAATCCTTAGTCATTAGGCAAATGCAAATCAAAACCACAATGGGATACCACGGCACAACCACTAGAATGGCTAAAATTAAAAAGACTGATGACACCACGTGTTGGTGAGGGTGGGAAACAATCAGAACTCTCACGTCTTGTTGATGTAAATGTAAACTGGTATGAGCACTTTGCAAAAGGATCTGGTAGATTTTGTAAACCTGAACATGCACCTGCTCTGTGGCCCAGTGGTTCCACTCCCAGGAGTATACCCAGGAGAAACAAAACACATGTCCACAGAAAGACTTGTACATAAGTGGCCATAGCACCATTACTTATACTAGCTCAAAACTGGCCCAGGTGTCCATCAATAGGAGAAGGAATGAGCGGATTGTGATACTGAGACATTCAGGAACAGCCATGGTGGGTCATGGATGGAATGGAAGGCTAAGATGACAAAACAAGCCCCTGGATGCAGTAAATTACTACCCTTTATAATGTGCCATTTTTGTAAAAGACCCATTACTGTGAGACCTTGATAAAACCACATAAGCAAAATGTTTGCAAAAAAGAGAAACTGTTACCAAGAAAAAACCCTAAATAAGCCCTCTAGTTTCACTTGCACTTAGCTTGAGATCACTAATTTTGGAGGCCACACAGCTGGGTAATACATTATTAGTTTCCCACTAGCACTGCTGTAGATGACAGCTCTACATGTTGGTTGTGATAGCAGTTGCCTCAGTCACTTCCCAGGGACCTGAAGGCTGCTTTGCTGAGATGGTCAACTGTCCCCTTCTAATGGGTGACAGGAATGGGATAGAAGGCCAATTGGGATGACTGGATGTTAGCCTGCCCCAGCAAAAACAAAAACAACAACAAAAACAAAACTCTGCCACTCTCTTTGTTCTGGGAGCAACAACTTGGTCATTCTCTCAAACAACTGCTGTTCCAACTTGGCTGAAGTTCACCATAAATATTTGCTTGTGCAATAATATGTGAGCTTCCAATATTTGGCCCAGTCTTGTTTCTACCATCTCTAGATCAGAAGATCCCATTATCTGGTATCAGTACATCAGCACAAAGAACAGTCAGCCATACTGAGGCAGTACTGATACACATGACCACATGGATGAGTCTCAAAAACATGCTGAATGAAAGAAGCTAGATGTAAACAAGTCAGCGTCATATGAATCAATTTACATAAAGTTCAAACGGTACACTTAGAAATGTACACTTACTTTTATCTTATGTAAACTTTACACCAACTTGATAAAAAGAACCACAACCAA